TTTTTTAATGTGGCTACTGATAGATTTAAATTACACATGGGGCTCACATTTGTGGTTCTTACATTTGTCTACCGGAAAGCCCTGTTCTAGAAGCTATATTTTATATAAGGAAGTCAGATTTAGAAAGACAGATATTCTTCCTTTCATCTCTTTCCATTCCTATCTTCAAGGGCTAGAAAGTATTCTAAAGCTATTCATGTGTTCCAATAGTTAAATGACATCAGTTCTATGCAATGTAGATGTACACTTAATGGAAGGTGTATTTGACCATTGGTTGCGGTATTGACATATAGGGAACAGAGGGAATAAGGAAAAATGACACACAAATTAAGAATGAAAAAAGGGAACATGCTTCTATAGAAACTATAGAAAATGCCATTAAAAAGATCCTAGTACTAATATTTAGGAATTACATACTGTCATCTAGAATTATGCCGTGTCCTATATGGTTTCTTTGATGATAGCTGACTTTGAAAACCACTGATAGAAAGATAAAGTTAGTGATTTTTAACCTGAGGAACAAAATCTTATACCAATAGAATATCACCTGGTTTCTACGTCTTCCTCTTACACAGAATTCTCATTTGTGAAAGACGGGGTGAAATATTTCACATCATAAGCTCCTAGGACACAGAGAAGTTCTTTAAGCTCCTTTATGATGCCAGGGAGAATAATCTTTTTTTGCTAAAAAGTGATTGTCTCTTTTCCCCATCCCACTCCCATTTCCATGTTTATTTGTTTTGTTTTTCCGAAAAGACATATTTAATGCCCTGCTTAGATTTATTTTCTACTTACTCACTAAATAAGGAATAACACTGTTATGTTTTATATTTGAAATTGTAAGGTACATTTCTTTTTTCTTTTATTTTTAATTTAACTCTTTGTTTTACAGATGAGGGCAGAAGTGCAGTTGACCAAGCAGGTGGTGCACAGATTGTAATTGACCATTTAAGGTCACTGTGCAGTATAACAGATCCCGCCAGTGAGAAGCTCTTGACTGTCTTTTGTGGCATGCTGATGAACTATAGCAATGAGAATGGTAAACAACACTGAAAACTTGCTTTATCTCTGGGGGAAAAATTAAAAATCATATTTACTGCAGTGCAAAACACAAGTATTTGAAAATTGATGGACAAAGAATTCCTAAGTAGAATATAAAATTAATACGTAGCCAACATTAAATTGCTGTTTCAGAAATACAAAATGGTTAGTTTACTAAATGGGACTAGTTTCTGAAGGGTTGCCCAGGTTAATCAGTACCAAAACAACAACAACAAAAAACCTCAATGGTATGGTTTAAGCATTCTTACTATGAATATTTTAAAAATAAACAATATTTTTCACGTTCATTATATTAATACCAGGCATAGTTTGGAA